GTGGGCACACAGGATGTAGAGCTGCCGGGGCTGGGGCAGCAGCTCCACGTGCCACACCTGGTCGGGGCAGCGGAACACAGCCTGGCAGGGGGGACACAAGCAAATGTCACCTCCCACGCAGCCGCAGGGGTGGCAGGGACAAGGTGGCTCCCTGCAGAGGGGGATCTGAAGCGATTTCCAGGGACAAATGGATCCCTGGGCAGCACCCAGCTGGGTGTTCCCGGGCGGGGGGTGGGACAGGGGCTGAGGCAGCCTGTCGTTCCCGCTCCCTGAGGGGAAGGAAAACAGGGAGCAGAGTACGTGCTCTACTTTGCTGAGCGGGAGCACAGTGTGGGAGGCAGATCCCGCTCTTACAGCGGTGGATTTCTTAGAAATGATAATCAGAACAAATTAACAAAGCAGCAGCATGTCAGTCAGGGCGCTGTGACAGCAGGGACAGCAGCCAGGCTTGGGGGAAGAGGGAAGAGAAGCCCCTGTGCTGGGGGAGACGAGCCTGTGGAGTCTGATCCAACGTGTGTCCCACAGGATTGGGAAAGGGGCCAGCTGGCAACACCCCCAAACCCCAACAAAGCCCAAAGCAAAGGGTGCTGCTTGTAGGGCTTGTTTGTTGGATGCTGACGGAGGGAATCCAGGGATGGGCAGTGGGGACATGTCTAGGGGGTGTCCCCATGGGATGGGGGACACAGTGAACCCCCACCCCGCCAAGCCCCTCACCTTGAGCACTTTGCCCTCCTGGTCGTACACATAGACAAACTCGGTGCCGTTGGAGAGGTAGATCTCGTTCTCGTGGCACAGCACCCGTGGCTTGCCCGCCACCAGCCCCCCCACCGGGCAGCAGAATCCAGCCAGGTAATCCACCCTGTGCCCCACCTGTGCCATGGTGCTGGCCTGGGGATGTGGGGAGGGGGCACTGAGGGTGTGAGGGGCTGAGCCGGGACCCCTGAGCGGTGGCAGCGTGTGGTGACACAGCCCTGCAGACCCCTGCGCCCCACAGCCCCTTC